AGACTGTAACTCCCTTCAAAAATCTAGTTTAGACTTTCCTTATTCAAACAATCCAACTTTTAATAGGCATATCTCACTAATACAAAGTTGAAATCGCGCAAATTAGGCGGTGTTGGAAGGATAATTCCCAAATCTTTCTAAGGTAGTTGTAAACAAACCTAAATCATTTTGAGCTAGAAAGGTCGTCTGAAGTTGACCAAAAACTCAACTTAACATACTTAAATCTTTTTCCATATTTTCATATTCTTTACAAAATGACTATTTCCAATTAATTTTTTTTAGTTCTTTAAATTAGCGAGATGTTATATTCAATGTAAGTCTTTCTCTAAGAATTTTATTCTTTCCAACTCAAATTGCTCCATACAATTATGAATCACTAATGAAAATCATAATTCTTGGCCATAGGGTTCCAACAAATAATTCAAGAAATCTCAAAAAAGGTTTTCTAGGTTTTCCTCCTTCATGCTAGGGTTTCAAGACTTCTAATCAAGTTTTTTTTTTCAAGACTCTTCAAAAACATTATTCTTCCAGTTATGTAAGGGTATCATAGTGTTTGACTAGTTCATTTTTTCGCCCTACATCTACTTTCGAATCAGTAAAAGAGAAATTCAAGATTCTACCCATAGATATAAGTATTCTTGAGACGAGTTGATTCAGTTCTGGAGTTCCTATTTCTTTTTGAAAGTCTATTCCTAATTATTGAACTTCTATATGTTATACATTAAGATTATTGAGTTAATTCTTTCATGTCTATATTTCAACATGAACACCATGAATTGAATATTCTTGAGATGATTAGTTTCCTTGAGTTCTTTAATTTGAGTACTAAATTTTTATATTGTTATTAAGACCTTGAGTTGAGTTCATGTCCATAATTCTGCATGAACACTAACAATTGATTTAGAAATTTTGATAAATTTACTAAAGCCAACATTTGAGTTTTAAACTGAGTTTTTGAGAAAATAGAGATGAATTTTGAGAAAGAGTTTTTAAAATATGCTAAGTATGAAAATCTAGTATGCCATCAATGTTTATGCAGTATTACTTTCTGAGTGATCAATGATCAAAATATGATTTTGATATATTTTTGGAAAAGAGTTCACTAAAAACATGATTAGTATGACAATCGAGTATGCCATCAATGTATGAGTAGTATGGTATCTAGATATACTATCAATGCTTATATAGTATGACATACTGAGTCATAAATGATCATACTATCATATGTTATTAAAATGTTTTGAGTAAGAGTTTTCAAGTATGATTTGAATAAGAGTATAAGGGGACTATTATTCCCAGACGCATCAAACTTTACATTGATAAACGAGAAACTGAGTTTTCTAAATGATCTATGAGTTTAAAAGATATTTTAAGAGCAGTTACTTATTTTAGAGACTAGTTTGAACAATTATCTTAAACCAGAGGAAGAGTTTGTTCTTAAACATATGAGCATGAATATATATTATTGAGAGTAGTATTGAACATCGATATGGTGATGAGTTCAAACAACTCAAATCCTCATAAATTATGTATGTCAACATGGGTAAAGAGGTCATACTTTTTAGATGATTCCTTATTGTATTTAAGCGTAGCTTGATGGACCCACGTAGTTGAAGATGTTCTGTACATCAACAAGGTATAAGACAATTTTGACAGCGTTAGTGAGATCCTATATCATCATGTAACTCATAGTGATGGTTGTCTGTTGGATAATCTCTGTAGAGTTAAAGTGTATTTTAATATATTACTTATTTTGTTGAGTTCATTGACGAGAAAGTACTTTGTGAAACTTTAAATGATTTAACTCATTTATTTCTTTACCTTCAGCTTGAGTACATTGTTATCTATTCTAGTCCTCTCATTCAGTTATTTTTTATTCAATTATATTACATACTCGTACATTCAATATAACGTACTGATTCGACCTGCATTTTTTAATGATGAAAATACAAGTTATTAGGATCCTCAACAAGATTCGGTTACTTCATTGACTCGTCTACTTATGAGTAAAACCTCCTTGCTGAATTCCAGTTTTATGAGTTGGTAGTAGTAGTTCTGTTGAGGAGTCGTGGGTTTTGTCGCGATATTTATCTTTGTATAGTAGATGCTTCACAGATAGATAGTTTTGAAGAGTCCTTCAGTTTCAGATATTTTATTCAAAATTTATGTTTCATACTCATATATTCAACAAAGTTTTGAGATTCAGTAAATTATTTTTAAACGTTTATTTCAATTTAATGCTTATGTGTGCTTGAGTTAGCCTTCCGCTTGTATTCAGCCAGGATGAGGGTTCGCTTGTGGACCAACAATGATCTGGAGTGTCGGCCACGCCCAGGATATAGACTTGGGTCATGACATAAGAGTTCTTGTATCTAATGTAGCACATGTATCTAAGTGAAGACTATATGTATCTATGAGAAAATATATTTTATGCTAAAAGAAAACAGGAAGATATTCGAAATTTTTTATTTCTTTGGAGAAAAATTTCAGAAATTTAGGGAAGAACGTGTGATTTGCTCCTAGATTAATACGTTTCAATTATATTTCATATTTAGATACACATAATTAGATGGATTTTCTTAGTATGTATCTGAGATACATGTATCAACATACACCATATACATATATCTGGAGATCGAAATATGATAAGAATTGTGCTTTTAAAAGTTTTACGGAAAGACAAGTAATTAGCACAACTTGTGTTGTTTTCTCAAAAGTTTATACATATACACATTGTCAACTTTTCTATAATTGTAATCCGTTATAATGACATATCATTATCATCATCTAATTTTCTACAGAATCAGATTTTCATGTTATATATATTTTTTATATATATAACAAGCTACCTATAACTATAATGACATTCATTATAGCATCACACTCTTTGTAAAATTGCCCCTTTATAACAATTATTCTAAACTATTTTAAATAATATTTTTATAAATATTATACTGCATAAAATAAAATATTAAAATATTTATGATAATCATCATTTATGTTATGCACATAGTAAATTTCAAGTACAAATATCTAAAAGGAAAAAAAGTTATATTTAAATGATTCACAATCAGTCATAGGTTCACGAGGAAAGACTACATGTTTGCCCTTTTTACGTTCATACTTCTCCTATTATTTTGATTAAATTAGTAAACAAATACATTATTTCTTCTTGATACACAAAACCTTCAAACTAATCAAGGAGAACAACATACACTTCATTGTCAACATGTATGCTTCTCCATAATTATTGAATTATGGGGGTAATTATGTCATTGAATTAATATCTTTTTCTCTATATTAATTTATTTATCATCTTAGCAAATTAAGACAAGTTAACGATTTTCATTTCATACCGTTTTAATCATTAAACAACTATATAAAGTAATGATAGTCAAATTTAAATTTTCAAAATATAATTAAACAAGTTAATTTAATAAAATGAACTCCTGATAAAATTGACTTGTCGTATGAAATTAAACTAGTATAATCTTTTTGCATAAATAATTTTTGATAGAGTAAAATGAAGTTAGAGTGATGGAGAGGATGTAGTACTCGACTACTTTACCTACAACATTTTCTACTCTTACTTTTAATGCAAAGAAAATAGAGAGCCTAAAAAACATTAACTGATTACAGAATGCTTACCACCTTCGATTTAATCTATTCTAAGTGGTCCATTGATCAAACAGGGGAGGAAAAAGGTCTATATCCATTGTCATAGCTAAAAGTGTTTTCTTTACTATTTGATTGAGACTAAAAATCAAAATATTAAATTTTTTAGAAATTTCATCCCTAACGAACTAGAAGTGGAGCAAATACTATTAATCTTTTGCTTAAGAGAAGAACTTGAAAAGATATATAGAATAACTTAATCAAATAGCTTTAATGTTAAAAAAAAAAAATCAATCTCAACTATAAGAAGGGGTAAATCTATTCATTATCGTCAGGGTATCACGTCACCCAGGGGGGTGGGGGTTCTCGATAAGGATTCGAACCCACATATTTCACTGCAATTTGTTGACTTATTGTTTTCTTTCAATTTCAGCTTAATACAGTTTTCATCTCAATTTATGTAACATATTTTCTTTTTTAGACTATCACAAAAAAAAATGTTACTTTTCTATATTAGAAGAAACTTTAATTTATAATTCTCATTTTGCTCTTAATAAGATAATTTATAATGACACAAATACATAAGGTTTGCTTTAAACCTTCTCCTTCAAAATTATCTTCTTTTCTTTTTTTTTTTGTCAAAATTTGGGAAACAAGACGCTGAATTTTCCTTTTTTTCCCTATCTAAATCATTTTAATGCATGTGAAAAAATTGTTTAGACTATAATAATTTAAATTTTATCGAAAATGTAAATTTACAAAAAAAAATACATGTTTTCATTAAAAGACGACACTAAAATTTCATATGATTTCGTTGGTCTTCTTAGATATTTATTGTTGTGAGTCAAAATTTTAACGTAAGACTTTGTTTCTGTTAATGAAATTATGTATGTGAATCTTTTAGCCATTTTTTTATTAAGCATGTTACACAGAGTTTGAAATATTAATAAATATAAATAATTATGTCATCATTGAGTATATTTAGAATATGAAAATTTACCGAGTTTAACTATAGGGGATATTGTTGGATTTTTTTTCTCCTCGTTTTGAACTAGTTTTATTAAAAAAAAATGTAGTCATTGGAACATTTTCCTCCCTACAAGTGTACCAATTACACAAATCAAAGAAAGGTTGAATTGTGCAACGGGTACCTCAAAACTTGACATTTTAACTTTTTCCAAATGCATATCCACATTTCTGAGGATAACACAATCCAGTAATATCTTAGTCCCCCTCCTGGTTTTTAATCCAGCTACAATTGATTAACATCAGCATTGGGATATATATATATATATATATATGCAAAACAAGCAACTTATACTGATTTCCAGTGCAATAGAGCAGCTCACCGCCAACCAGAGATATCTCGAAAGAAATACAGACAATGCAAGGTAAACTACCTCAAGCAGCAACAGTTATTATTTCATTTCCCATGCAACATGAACAATTTGTATGTCAACTAGCAATACAATGTGTCATCTAACTGCTTGCTAAGTTCAGTTGACAACAATCAACAATCACAAACAAATGCAACAATTAAAAATTTCCTATTTAGTAGACTTCAACATGCCATTGCTTGTTCTTTTTGAGTTGTGAAAGCTTCTGCTCCCAACTCTCACCTCTCTCTTCAGCAACCCTCTTCAGGGTATCCTGGATGCCGGGCATCATACCCTTCAACCCGCAGAAATAGATGTGGGCCCCTTCATCCAGAAGTTTGAAGATCTCATCACTGTATTCCTCAATTTTATCCTGAACATACATCTTCCCCCCTTTATTGTTCTTTTGTTCTCGGCTAAGAGCACGGTCATATCTGAAATTGCCTGGGTAGTCATTGAGATACTTGGTGAACTCATCGTCGTACAGAAGGCTGTCAGTGTTTGCCACCCCAAGGAAAAGCCAAGCAAGGCCATTAAACTTCATTGGAACTGACTCCATGAACATACGACGAAGGTAGCCTCTGAAGGGAGCCACACCAGTACCAGTTCCAATCATGATGTGTGTGGCATTAGGATTATTTTCAGGTAGAAGCATTATCTTACCAGAAGGACCTGTGAAGACATCCAAAGGGCAATCAATTAAAAAAAAATTGAATCTCGGAGTGTTTCACCAATGAATATGCAACCCACCAACAAATTATAAGAATCTAAGAGCCACATGAAATATCTTGTTTGATTGCAAAGCATCACCACACTTAATGCTCAGCAGGGTATCTTATTTATAAATTATAACATACTAAAGGAAGGCAAAATTTACTTTCTTTGTTAATAATTGTGAGGAAATCATTACATAATAGGCATTTAAGGAATCATCATATGATCAGATAGTCAAGGTAAAAGATCCAATAAGACAGTGACGAAACAAAGCACTAATGCACTTTTTGGAGAAAAAGTATGCACATCAGCCGGCAATTTGAAGCACACAAGGAAAAGGAAAATATCTTTAATCCATTATGCTGTATAACCTAAAGGGTCAACTGGACAGTATAAGTTCCTGCTGACAAGACCATGTTTAACAGTATGCTGCCTCAAAGATCATTTTCTTGTCCCTCTACTCAAGTGTTGGAAAAACTACTCATTAAGCCAAATGCAAATGATGTGATCAGACATGACAAATTGAAATGCTATGTATGGAAGACGAGTAGTGTTGCCATGCAAAGTCTTTGAATAACATCTGTAAAAGGACTATTTGGATTTCACCTGTGATCTTCACTTTGTCACCAGGCTTCGCATTGCATAGGAAGTTGCTGCAAACACCATTTTTGGATGGGTCTTCTTTTCCTGTCTCAGGATCATAGTAGACAGCTCGTCTGACACACAAGCTAGCCGTTTTCCCATCAAAAGAGTCCCCATATCTGGTCGATGCAATTGAATATAGACGAACATTGTGGGGACTCCCTGGTTTCTTCGGGTTTTCACCCTGAAAGAAGTTAAAAGTGAGACTCTGAAAGACCGGTGTGTAGAAATTATACGAAGCTCATACTGAGGCTTGGTATAAAAAAGGAGGATAAAAGAATCATGATATCACTTTTTTTATAATTTTTGCATCGCAAAAGGAGGGTGGGGGGCTAAGGTTCAGACCAAATATAGTCGGACACAAATAGTATCAATGACCAAAACATCTGCAAGGCAGAAGCTAAAATACAAGCATGCCAGGGCTAAGATTGGAGGTATTGGGGCACCTTCCGTCTATTGGGATGTCAAAAGCGCGAAGTAGTAAAAATAGCAAGTGAAAATTCATGGTAAATGTCCTTTTAGTGGCAGCAATGAACATGGTTGTCCTTCAAACTGAGTACACCAAATGGAGATGTGTTTAGAGTAAAGAGGACACAGATTTTATAAAATGTTATACAACTGGTCCTGTATATTCAGCCCAAAACAAGAAAGCTTTTCAATGCAATAAATTAATTGGGAAAATAGAACCAGAACTTACAGGAGGAACGACACCATAACTTTGTCCTTCCCAGTAAGGAAGGTTGCCATCATGATCAATGACAATATGACAAGTCTCCCCAGGAGCTTTTGGGCCTACAATCCTTTCGACAGAGACAATTGTCGCTGTGTATGGCTCCTTGGGCTTGTAGATATTCAAGGGTGGTTCTGTTGCATTTTCAAGTGATAAAGGTGAAACTGAAACCTTGGCTTTGCTAGCATGTTGCACTGACATGCAAACAATGTATTGGCTTCTGGATCGAGTCGCTTTTAGATCGATAGATGGCATAGAAATGCATGATTTATCACTGAATGTTAAGCTTGTAGCCTGTAACAACGAAAAGCATATCAATTTGGGAATAAAAACATTAACTGCAATATGGTATTCTTTAGTTTAGTCAAATCACTATCAAACAGTCATTGAACTAGACAAAACATGTGATCGTTTAGATCAGGAAACACATGTTCAATTAGGTGTGCACATATCAACCGATGTAAGTAGCTATCAGCCTATCACATCCTACTTTTTTTTTTCTTTCCTCATTAAGTATATTATCAGAGTTCCTAATATCCTTCGACTCACATGATTTATTATTCTTTATTCATTTTACGGTTTAGTTCATCTCTCTGGTTTTGTTCCTTTTATTGTAATACTTGCTGCCCATGTACTTCTATGGCTCACCTTGGCGCGTGTTGCATTGTCCATCAAATAATTATTTTACTGATGAAAATGGAAAACATGTTCTTAGAACAAAGATATATGCACTAGAAGTAAGCAAGGAGAATCTAAAAACTGTTTGCCACCAGTAAAAGGATGTTTTCATGCTGATACATATACCAATACACATATTAGCAACAAAAGGACCGAGAATGAAAAACAAATGAGCTTACTAGGAAACATCTAAATGATCCGAGGTCACAAAGCAGACGTAAAATGTATTAGTTACTTATAAAGACAGAAACTTTAGGATATTTTCTCAAGTGATTCTTCACTTAACAACTTAGAGATGGCCAAAAGTTATGGAACACATGACATCAGCATTTTTTTCACTAATAAGGATATACAAGCTGATATCCACAAAAGAATTGAGTGAATATGTAGGAATCAGTTACACCCTTGGAAATCACTAATGGATACCGAAATGCAGATCTAATATTCTTCATTTGTTTAAATACATAACCTCCCACCCCACCCGCGTATGTACAGAATCCCTTTGATACACACCTGGAAAAGCTTTACACACCAATTCTCTTCCCAACCATAGCTTTTACACACCTCTTCAATGTTTGATCATATTTTCCCCACAAGTGTATGTCAAGCACAAACTGTTGCATGACACATGTTATTGACTCAAGAAAATACTTAAAGTTACAGTCCTATGCAACAATCTAAGGGGAAAATGTTCCTGTAACTATCAGTCTCTCTTCAACAACTTATCATCTCCTCTTCTATCCACCTTCAATTCTCAAGAAGCAAAACCCAAAATACCACAACCTTCCTAAATATGCAAACCCACAAGTAAAACCCATGGCTGGTTCTTGTAACGCCATTAACAGACACAAATAAAGTTCTCACACCAATTTCATCCAATGACAAACACACAAAGAGCATATTTTCATGCGCCATGTGTTGCTCGTCGGATCATACTCCTTCACTGCTGCAGCCCTTGCACAACACCCCCCCCCCCCGCCAATATAGGTTTTCACATCCACAACCTTCTGAGTGTACTTCTTCCTTGGAAAAATCAGCCCTTGTCTTGGACAACTTTTCCAGCTTCCTCTCTCTTCCCAAGCTTTGCAGAATTCAAACAAGTCAATTCAGTGTTGTCTAGCAAAGTGTTTGGATTAGTCCCTCACTCATCTTTTTAGTAGGTCTAGTTTCTTATTAATTAGATCAAGCACTTACATTGACAAAAAACATACTGATGTTTTACACTATTGAGATTAATTTGGGAGCAAGAGCGGTATCTAAAAAAAAACTCTTGTCCGGTTTTGAAGCATCTTTCCACAAAGTCAAGATGCTCAACTTGTGTGCAATGAGGATGAAGGAGAAATGACGAGGAATTAAGAAGTTGGGAGTTGGGACCAACGACAGCAAAGCAAAGGTAAAGAAGGAAGTGAAGAACGAGGTACCCGTGAGAGATATTCATGAAGAAGGTCATTTGGGAGGGAAGAAATGGTTGTTCCGGTGGTGAGTGAGATAGAGAAATTTAACTTTTACACATAACAAGTGTAAAACAATTTTAGAAAATGAAAAGGACTCAAAATAAATGAATAGATTTAAAAGTCGGACATGTAGCGTCCATGAAAAACTTCTGACAAAAGAAATTTGCATTTACTCGCTTCTCTTGTGTGAAGAACATCCGAGTGCCATGTAGCTAAAATGGTGTGCATTATACATAATTTAGGAAAAGTTCAGTGGGTATAGCTTTTCCCATGAATTAGAGGTGTATCAAAGGGATTTCATTACAAGTTGTGGGAGAGCAAACTATGTGTTAAGCCTTCTTCATACTATTAGACTTCGATTCAAGAGGAATGAGTAAGAAAGCAAGGTTCAGATACAGAAGGAATTAGTCATGAAACTCTCGATTACCATTACGGGACAGAAAAGGTCAGCATTCTAGGAGCATGGGGATCAAAATGAAGCATATCAGTTGTGATTTATTTAGATATTTGGGAAGAGAGAACTATAGATATTATGAGCATGAAGATATAGCAACATTAGTTAAGAGATGATTGAGCAAGCCTGAATGTACAAGACACACAAGTTGTTTCAAATTTTCATTTCATTAAATCTTTCAAAATTTAGCACATAGTAAGAAAACCAATTTTAATCAAGATGAATTGCATTTTGCATCACAAAAAGGGAAAAAAAAGGGGAACGCAAATTGACTGTCACACTCGCCAATTGGACCACTCAACATGTAATTGACTACACATTCAGATACCTTAAGTCCAACATCATACAATTATCCATCAAATATCTGAACAGTTTTGGGACATATCAAACTCAAATAACACAAGCTATGACAGTGACTGGTAGAAAATAACAAAATAACTTTTTTTCCTCTTTTTGTTGAGAAAAAACAGATAAAACCCCTTTTTTTTTCCTGAGTGAGTTGATGTGTTAGGAATTAACAATAAATAAAGATATTGAAGAACCTTAAAGGTAGATCTTCGGAAAGAGGAATCCGTTTGGAGAGGAACAGCAACTGACACCTGCATTCATATGCATACCTTGTTAAAAACCCTCTAAAGCCCTTGAGCTAACAACTAAAACAGGAGGAGATCCAGAATTTGAAGACAACATAGATAGACAAAAATGGGATCTTTTTGAAGTATTAGTGTATTAGTTACCTGAGAGATAGCTGAATGAGCCATGATCTGATCAAATGACCGATTCTATCAATTTGTGTATAGGGAGAAAAACTCTGAAGGAAGAAAGATGGAGAAGGGTTTATATATTAAGGGGTTTTGTTGGGAAGAAGAAATGGGGAAGTTGGCAAGGCCAATAGGAGGAGGGATTGTTGAAGTGATGATCCTTTGGAGTTAGGCAAAGGACAAGATTGATGGCTTTTCACAGATCCATTTCAATTTTGTGAGCTCTTTAACTAAATACTAGTAGTATTATATTATTTTCTTCTTTTCAAAAGGTTCATTATTTTTAATTTTTTAAAATAGGAAAAAGTGTCATATTTGTCTTTATATTCCGGTAAAAAAAAAAGTTATATTTTTTTGGCTTAATTCATCGACGGTCCCTTAAAGTTATTCGCATAATTCAGTTAGACACCCCAACTAAGACTATTACCTATTAGACACTTTAATACTAAAGAATATGTATCTATTGAACATAAAACGAATTTTTTTTTAAAAATTGTTTTGCGTGTAATTCACGCGCATCTTTTTAAAACAATGACAAATAAAATTATGACACTTGGCACATGGTCCCAGCCTAGCATATATATATATATATATATATATATATATATATATATATATATATATATATATATATATATATATCCAAAACCGCTGATGTGGCACCTCTATATGGTCTCCATTTGTTTCTTCTTTTTTTTGTCTTTTCTTTTATTCTTTTCACTATTTTTTATTAACTATAAAATTCAATCATATTTAATATTGTAATCGTATGAAATGAGTTGCAAAAAATCCCAAATATTGACATTCTCTACTTAAATAACATGTTTTTTCGATTTTCTTTACCATTTTTATGACTTATTTTATCTATAAATATCAATCATCTATGGAGATGTTGCATGTTCGTTTCCATTTGTTCATTCTTTCTTTTTAGTAGTATAATCTTTTAATTTTATTTTCTTCATCTTTTTTTTCATCAATCATGTAGTTAAGTAATCAAAATAGAAGATATAGAAAAGATGATGTCACAATATGATCTTCACTTTGATGAAGATTATTGGTATATTCTTGAAACATTCATCACATTATTTGGTACAAGTTCAACAAAATGAAGAAAGAAACTTAATTATCTTGGAGATTCATGCATAGAGAGTTATAGTAGTGTAAAAGTTTGATTGATTTTCAAATATTTTGAAGATTCATTGTTGTACTATTTTGTTTTCAACTAATATTATTTTGTTCTCTTTTATTTTATTTCTTCATTTTGAACAAAAAAAAATGAGTATTCCATTGATTGTTGTAATGTGTAAACTTATGATAATATATTGTGTTTCTTAATAAATATTTATATAAATGTGTATCGTAAGACAATTCTTTTGAGGCAAATGTTAATGTATTTAAATTCACATTGGATGTACTCATAATGAACTATATATGAACTATGATAGAAGATATTTAATTTATTTGCCAAAATAAAAAAAAACAATTGAAAAGAAAAATAGTATAATTTGATGAATCATGTTTTTGTTAATTTATTTATTGTTTTTTTAATTCCACTTTAGTTTATCTATTTTTTATTTCACATTTTATTAGAAGTAATTGAAAAACAAAATCTAATAAATAAAAATATTTATCCTGTAATTGAATATTTTGTAAATTTTTTAGTCAAAATTGTTCTCTTTTTGCTTTGGTTTACTTATAAGTTAATTGCTCTCCATGCAAATATTTTGTAATATTAAATACTTGTATTATATATACTATGAAAATCATATTTTGTAACTCTTTTGAAGTATAATTAAATATATATCAAAATAAATAAAATAGTGAATATAAATATTTAATAATACATTTTATGAAATGTAAAAATAGGACAAATATTATATGCCAAAAAAAACTTATTCATGCATTTGATAAATTAATTTATTTTTGTTAAATATGTATCTTTTGAAAATTTTAAATAAAAGATGAATACAAATGACTAAATAAGTTGATTTGATTTTTAATATATTTTTTAAAAATAAAACACAAAATTTTGTACATAAAAACTTTTCATATGAGTATGATTAAATAAACACAAAATTATGATTAAAATTTTAAATTATTTTGATATACTAAGTAATGAGTATATATCTTAGGTTGTTCATGTATTAATTTTATATAGAAAGATGTGCAATCATTGATTTGAGAATGAAAGAAGTACAGTTGAAATGAAAATATATTATCAGAGTATTCAATTCAATTAACTTTTGAATTTTATTATTCTATACACATAATATGTGAAGAAGTTTATTATCTATCAAATATTTTTACGTAGTTTATATGAATATATTTATCTTTTTATTTCATATAAAATATATAGATTAAAATATAGTGAACGAGTCAATAATTTTTTTTAAAAAAAACATATTCTCATTCGAGGTTGAATATATTGAAACTTAATAATAGCGTAGCATTTTGGATAACTTTCTTAAAACAAATTTGACAAATGATAACAATTATCTTTGATATAAATGCAACTAAAGAATCTAAAATACCAATAGATGTGATTCATGCAAAAATCATACAAGTTTAAATTGTATATTTTATTGAAGAATATGATAAGAATGTTGTTAGGAGTTAAGTAGTATTTAGTTAGTTTGTTATCCAGCTGTCAATATCTTATTGGTTATTAGCTAGTTAGTTACATTTTCTGTTAGTTAGTTACAATGAGTTGTATAAGTACATAGTAGCACTGTAAATTGGAATACAATTTTTCCCATCTTTTTCATTCAATCAACAATTTTGTCATGGTATCAGAGCCAATGGAGTGCGATTCCTGGTGATGCGTTAGCTTCGATTGATAGCTGAATTTGCAGATTTGAGGAGACATCAATGGCGAACAAAATTGACCATGGCCATCCTCTGTTCTTGTCATCTTCTGATGTACCAGGAGCTGTTCAAGTTGGAATTCAACTTACAGGTATGGAGAATTACACGTTGTGGAGCAAAGCAATGGAATTAACTCTGTTGACTAAGAATAAACTGGGATTTGTTGATGGAAGCATCAAACGTAAAAATTATACAGTCGATTCTGAGAAGAAACAGTGGAATCGATGTAATGCTATGGTGCTTTCATGGCTGATGAGTAATGTGAGCAAGGATTTGGTGAGTGGAATCCTATTTCGTTCTAATGCAGCTTTAGTTTGGAGTGATTTGAAGGAACGTTTTGATAAGGTGAATATGTCCAGAATTTTTCATCTGCACAAATCGATTGTCACACACACTTAAGGTACTTCCCCTGTATCAGTTTATTACTCAAAGTTAAAGGATCTATGGGATGAATTCGACTCAATTGTTCATCCTCCTTCTTGTAATTGTGATAGATTTAAAGAGTATGTTGATAGTATGCTTATACAAAAGCTTTTGCAGTTTTTAATGGGTTTGAATGACAATTATAGTCATGCTAGGAGTCAAATTCTTATGATGAGTGTTCCACCTACTGTTAATCAATGTTATGCTATGATAATTCAAGATGAAAGCCAAAGGGAGATATGTGGAGATCACTACACTTTGGGTGGACAATTAGATTCTACTGCATTATTTTCCAGTAGATCTGGAGGATCTGTAAGTAATGGTTCTGGAGGTAATGGGAGTCAAGGTTATAGAAGTCAAGGAAATGTGAAATCTCATAAACCACAAAGGAGTGGATATTTGTATTGTGATCATTGTGAAATGAGGGGTCACAGTAGAGCTGATTGCAACAAGCTGAAATATTGTACTCATTGTCATAAGCATGGGCATTTAAAGGATGTATGTTTCCAGTTAATAGGTTATCCTATCAATTATAAAGGAAAAAGATTAGCTAACAATGTGGCAGATTTCTGGGGAGTTCAAGTGATAACAATTGTTTTGTTCCTTCAACACAACAGTCACAACAACAATATGGTTCAGGTTCTGGATCTGGTTCAGTGCCACAGTTTACACCTGATCAGTATAAGCAAGTTCTTCAGATGTTGAACAAACCATTGATTCATGAAGGAAATGCAGCATCTACAAACATTAATGCCAATGCAGCAGGTAACTTTGCAGAACATTCCAAGTTTGATTCCCCTAGTTTTGATTGGATTGTTGATAGTGGAGCAACTGATCATATGGTGGGAACTAAGAATGTCTTGACTAATGAATCAACAGTGATGAGTTCAGGACATGTTCAACTTCCAAATGGTGATTCATCTCGAGTCACACATTCAGGTTGTTCTAAACTACAAGGAGGTGATATAGTCAAAAATGTTTTATGTGTGCCAGATTTTAACTTCAACCTTCTTTCAGTGGCTAAACTAACTAGACAATTGAATTGTTGTGCTATATTTTATTCTGACTTCTTCCTTCTTCAGGATCTTCTCACTGGGAGAGTGAAGGAGATTGGTAAAGAGAATGGTGGTTTATACATTTTGAAGTCTCCTCAACTGATAAACACTGAACAACATCATAAGAGTGTTGCTACTACAGTTGTCCAAGATTCTGATGAGGGTGAAGTTTGGCATAAAAGATTAGGTCACATCCCTATGAATGTTATTAGAAAAATAGATATGTTTGCTAATAGAAGGAAGTTTCAGTTACAATGTTGTAATATTTGTCCATTGGCCAGACAAGTTCGATTACCATTCTCCATTAGTAACAATAGAAGTTCAAAATGTTTTAATCTAGTTCATATGGATGTATGGGGACCCTACAAAGTTGCAACTCACAATAAGATGAAGTTTTTTCTTACATTGGTTGATGACTATTCTAGATGGACTTGGATATATCTCATGCATCTTAAATCTGATGTTTCTACTATATTGAAGCAATTTATTGCCATGGTTCAAACTCAGTATAGTGTTCAGGTTAAAGCATTTTGATGAGATAATGGGGGAGATTTATTCAATGCTCAAGTGAGTGAGTTGTTTAATTCTAAAGGTATCATTCATCAGAGTTCTTGTCCACATACACCTCAACAAAATGGTGTAGTGGAAAGAAAGCATAGACACATCATGGAGACAGCTAGAGCTATCAGATTTCAAGGTCACATTCCAATCAAGTTTTGGGGGGAATGTGTTTTAGCTGCAGTACATATTATTAATAGAATTCCATCCACTGTGTTGGATAACAAGTCACCTTTTGAGATGATGTTCAGCAAATCAACAGACCTGTCTTACGTGAGAATAATAGGTTGTTTATGTCATGCTACTAAACTGTTGAGGACAG